CCATCAAATCTGAAGGGTGCAGCTTTTTCCCTCCACTCCGCGTATGTCATAAATTGCTAGCGGACCATACACGCGGAAAGAGAGCCAAGGAAAGGTAACTCGGCCGACCTTTTCATTGTTTACTGTATGCACCAGGGGCATAGGTGCAACCCAGGGTATGCCTTCCTCAAAGCCGTCAAGGATTGCGGCACTCGCGGCCCAGCAGGAGCGATCATAATAGCTCCCTTTCTCACCCCTCTAGCTGAGTATTGGGGATGTAGCGACGGAGAAGACATCCCAGCTAGTCTTCGACCGGAGCCTATCAATGGCGGAGTGCTGGCTCATATGAACATCCTTAGCAGGCAAGGTACAGGGTTTATCTTAAACCCAATCCTCTCTATCTCGATGGACATGCGGGATTTCGACACACCACGGGATTTCCCCACCACTTCGGAGTCCCGCGGCGAGTCCTACGATCCCGACTACGCCGGCTTATACAGGCGCCTGGATGATGAGCATGCCTATATGGAAGGAGAGTTCCGAGTTTATACGCCGGCAGTTTGGCCGACTCACTGTCGAGCAAGACAGGACGGACCGCCGGATAGAAAGCCTGGTCCAAACTCAGGCGAGATTCCGCGCCGCCTACTCCGCGCTTCCCTTCGCCAGCACCATCCTCTCACTCCGAGTCCGAGGCGGACGATTAGGAGATTTTCTGATGCTTTCTAGTAGTTTAAAAAATGTTTGAATATACTATAAAAAAAAAACAAAATATATAATAAATAAGAGTTGTTATTTCCATTTGCATTTTGAAAAGCCTACGTGTAAAATAAAAAGGCACACGTAATATAGCAAAAAGCCAGATTTTAAATAACCCGCGTTGATCGCGAAAGAAAAAGGCGAAATCTGAACCATTTCAGCAGAATAAGGAGCTTCAAGGAAAATAGTTCCAACCATCAATAAAAGAAGGTACATCAAAAATAGAAAAAGCCAACGAAGGGCTTGATAATCCCCAAGCGGATCCTTGCCTACTCCAAAGGCAAACCAAAATTACTCCATGACTCAATATGTACACCACATGAATCATCAAGCATAAATCACTTGGAGCTGCAATCAACATCTTTCCATCCAGAAAAGTCATCAATGTAGAAAAGCCAACGGAAAGGCTCAATTATCCCCAAGCGGATCCTTACCTACTCCAGAGGCAAAACAAAAAGAATACCTCGCGACTCATCTTCGTCAGCACATGAGTCATCAAACACACTCATATAAGGATCTCCACTTCATTCCCCAACGGAGAACAAGGGTTACACAAGAGCCCATCATACGAAGTCAAGTCCTTTACATCACTGGGGGGCAACAAAAAGAAGGAAGAGAAAAGCCTTTCATCCTCTGACAAAGGCCACTGCAAGAAAAAGCCGAAAGAAAATCCCCAAGAAGAGCACATCAAGAAAAATCTATAAAAGAAGAAAATGAGAAAATTCCATCCACAGGAAGGCAAATCAACCCCCCGGTGGATCATCAAAAAAAAAAAAAAAAAAAAAAAAAATTTCCCCAGTAAGCCTAACCGCAAAGGCGAATTACAAATTACAAATCCACAGGGAGTTAAGCACCCAATATGAATATCCCCAGCGAAGTACAAAACCTTCACTCCCAAGAATGCCTATGCTTACTCAGAAACAAGCAAAGAGCCGATATCCCCAAGAAACGGGAAATCAACCTAAAAGAGGTAATACAAGCAAAGCTTTCAAGAAACATCTACCTACTCAGAGGTATTATCAAGAACAAATATCCTCAAATAGAACATCAGCCTATTCAGAGGCAAACAACAAGTAAAAAGCCTTCACCACTATTGAAGCACACGCCTAATCAAGAGGCACAATCAAGAATCAACAAATCCCCAGGGGATTCCCGCCTAATCAAGAGGCACAACCAAATAGAAATCACATCCCCAAGTGGGCTCTCGCCTAATCAAGAAGCACAATCAAGAATCAATAAATCCCAAGTGGACTCCAGCCTAATCAAGAGGCACAACAAAATCCTCAAGTGAATCTTCGCCTAATCAAGAGGCACAATCAATAAGAGAATTCAAAATCCCCAAAAGGATTCCCGCCTAAAAAGAGGCAATCGACATAATCCTAGGCAAAAGCTGGATGGCTAAAACAAGAAAAGCCAAAAAAATCAAGAATCCCAGGTAAAGCCGGATGACTAAAACAAAAAAATCAAAAAGAAAAATTACTCCCCATAGGCGCATGATCGGAGACAATAAGTCGCCAGAAGCCGGATGAGGGTTCGTACTCATCAATCAAAAAGATATTCCAAAAAGAGCATTCCAAGAATTTGTCAAAATGCGGATTCGTACCGGATGGGGGTAGGTACTCATCGGAGTCCTGTCGAAATGCGGACTCGCACCCAAGTGGGGTGTAAAAACCATTAGAGTCAGGCAAGATGCGGACTCGCACAATAGAGCTTGTCAAGATGCGGGTTCACACCCGAGTGGGGGTGTAAAAACCATTAGAGTCCGTCAAGATGCAGACTCGCACAATAGAACCTTGTCAAGATGCAGGTTCACACCCAGTGGGGGTGTAAAAACCATTAGAGTCCAGGCAAGATGCAGACTCGCACAATAGAGCCTTGTCAAGATGCAGGTTCACACCCAGTGGGGGTGTAAAAACCATTAGAGTCCGTCAAGATGCAGACTCGCACAATAGAACCTTGTCAAGATGCAGGTTCACACCCAGTGGGGGTGTAAAAACCATTAGAGTCCGGCAAGATGCAGACTCGCACAATAGAGCCTAGTCAATATGCAGGTTCGCACCCAGTGGGGGTGTAAAATCCACTAGAACCTAGTCAATATGTAGGTTCGCACCCAGTGGGGGTGTAAAATCCACTAGAACCTAGTCAATATGCAGGTTCACACCCAGTGGGGGTGTAAAATCCATTAGGACCTAGTCAATATACAGGTTCGCACCCAGTGGGGGTGTAAAAACCACTAGAATCTGGCAAAATGCAGATTCGTACCAGGTGGGGGTAAGTACCCACCAAAACCTTAAAAATGCAGATTCATACCAGGTGGGGGTAGGTACCCACCAAAACCTTAAAAAGGAAGCTCAAACCAGATAGGGGTTGGTACCTATCAAAATATTTATCATCCGGAGGATCAACAAGGAGCAGCATCCGAAGAATAACCGGGCAAAAGGGTTAACTCCTTCCCCTACCAACTAATTTTGTCGGTATACCAAAACCAACGAATTAGTTGGGCAGGTGAAGGGGGGGCAGCTGTAGACCCCTAATTTTGCCCGGCCTCTCAAAAAAAGATAAAGGAGATCACCCGTAACAAGATAAAGCTCGTCTAGCATTACAAATAAGAGCCAAGGAGACTTCCCATATGAAGATAAAGCTTCAATAGACACATATCGGCATCAATTGACGTCCAAAACAGGCAAGGAGAGCTTCCCGGAGTCCCGAAACCCGCGTCCCAACCTGCCCCAGCCAGGTTGGGACGCGCGTCCCGAAGTTGGGACGGCCGTCCCAAGCCCCAGTTCAAGTGGGACGGCCGTCCCGGGTTCCCAGGGGGTCCCAGCCTGTGTAATTTTGCCATTTGGGACGGCTGTCCCAGTCCAGACGGCCGTCCCACCCAGACGGCCGTCCCAAAGTGCGCCAGCTGCGAAAAACTATAAATAGGAGGCTCATTTGCCACTTTTTCACACCACAGACACTCCAGAGAGCTCTGAAACACTTTCTAAAACTCAGAGCACTTGTCTATTTCTTTCTTTCTCTTGAATGATCTTTCCGATTGCCTTAAATAGGTAACAATCGGTTAAGGAATTATATTCAGGCATTCGATTCTTCTTTAAATTTTTTAGTGGGGTCGATCTTGTATTGGTGAGGAGAGTCTGTGTAGAGAGAGGGGTTGCCAAAACGCATCCTCATAGTTGGAGATTCTCAATACAAAGCTTGCTACGGAGGTTCTTTTCAATTCTCTTCTCTTTTATTGCTTTATTTATTGTTTTATTTAGCTTTATTTACTATTTATGCCATGTAGAGTAAAATCATGTAGATAGCTATTTTAATATCTCTTTTATTGCTTTATTTAGCTTTATTCATCATTTTATGCATATAACATAGAATAAAATCATGTAGATAGCCATTTAATATTATGTAATAAAATAGGGTAATCGCGTAATTTCTCGTAGTCTTTATTTAAATGAATTAATCTGTCATAGGGAACCCGAAAGGGGCGTTGTGGGGTGCTAACACCTTCCCCACACGTAACTAACTCCCTTACCCAACTCTGGTTATAATGGCCAAGTGCGGTTTTTCTTAAAATCAACATTTTTTCCTTTTCCAATGTTTAAGGTTAAAACATTGGTGGCGACTCCATAAGAACCTCTTTTCGAAAACCTTTTAAAACAAATACGTGAGTCTAAACCATCTTTTCGCGACCGCTCGCATAAACGTGTCGAGACGTCCTCCGGACGTCGAAAGGGACGGCGGCGACAAGTCTAAAAAGAAAAATAAAAGAGTATGGGTAGAAAAAGGAACTAGAGCATCTATGATTAGAAATGCATCATTTTCAAATACTACATCTAAAGCATGTTTTTATTGCATGAAACAAGGTCACACGTCAAATAGATGTAAAATTAAACATTTTGGTGTACCTAAAGTTAAATACATTTGGGTTCCTATAGTTAAATAATTTATTATGTCTCTAACCCCAAGGACCCAAAAGTTGTTGGGACCTAAGTTTACTATGTTCTTGTTTTGTAGGAAACTTCCAAATCTAAAAAGTCTATGTGGTATCTTGATAGTGGATGCTCAAAGCATATGACCGGGATAAATCAAAATTTGTAAGTTTCAAAGTTAAGGAACAAGGATATGTAACTTATGGTGACAACAACAAAGGGAAGTCTTGGGATTTGCGTGCTCCTTGGTTAGAACCTCTAAGGGGCCCTAATGGTTTAGACTTGAGTAGACTGAAAAAAGATATACAGCCTTGGCAAGAACGTCGTTCTGCAGAATATATGACCCATGCTCCTTTAGGTTCCTTAAATTCCGTGGGTGGCGTAGCTACAGAGATTAATGCAGTCAATTATGTTTCTCCTAGAAGTTGGTTAGCTACTTCTCATTTTGTTCTAGGATTCTTTCTATTTGTAGGCCATTTATGGCACGCGGGAAGAGCTCGCGCAGCTGCCGCAGGATTTGAAAAAGGAATTGATCGCGATTTTGAACCTGTTCTTTTCATGAATCCTCTTAATTGAGACATGATTTTACTTATGGTGACAACAACAAAGGGAAGATTCTTGGAATTGGAAACATAGGTGGTGCAAACACTTTGGAGATTAAGGATGTGCTACTTGTTGATGGATTAAATAACAATCTCCTTAGCATAAGTCAACTATGTGACAAAGGATTTAAGGTAATTTTTGAAAGTAAGTTTTGTACCATACATTTGATAGATTCCGAAAATGTAGAATTAAAAGGCATTAGGCATAACAACATATATTTGATTGATTTGGATTGTTTACATGAGTCTAGCATAACATGTTTAGTTGCTAAGGAAGAGAACCCTTGGTTATGGCATAAGAGAGCTGCTCATATAAATATGCATCATTTGAATAAATTGATTTCAAAAGACTTAGTTATTGGTTTGCCTAGGTTAAAATTTGAAAAAGATAGATTGTGTGATGAAAGTGATGTGGAATATCTTGGCAAAGATCTCATTGATTTGATGAAGTCAAAGATGAAGTCAAAAGGCTACTCTGCAGCAGTCAACAAGTCACTCAGATAAAAGAGTTAGAGGATTAGTGTGTCTAACAGAATGCTTAGGTAAAACCACTTTATCTTTTCTGCTGCATAAAGTTTCTTCTCTTAAATGATTTTGCAAAATGCCTCAAAAATCGTTTTAAACAAATTAAAAACAAAGCATTATGACAAAAGCTTTCTTAATAATGTTTTTAACTGATATAGTTTTGAAAGAACCGATTAAAATCTCTTAGAATGTTCAAAGAAGTAATTTTACAGTATTTTAATCGATACAAATTGCTTTCAATCGATTAAAACCCTTTAGAACTCATTATGACCGATCAGAATACAAATATGACCGGTCAGAATAATATTTGACCAATCAGATTTGAATTATGAGCGATCAGAACTTATTTCAATCGATTAAAACACGTTTCAATCGATTAAAATCATTTAAAGAGTCAGAATGATCGATCAGAATACAGTTATGACCGATCAGAGTTGATTATGATCGATCATAATGGAATTATGACCGATCATATCTATTTCAATCGATTAAAACGCATTTCAACCGATTGAAACAACTTGGAAAAATTTTGTACAGAGTTTTAATCGATTAAAACTTCTTTTTATCAGTTAAAATAACTTGAAAAGTTTTATAAGAAAGTGTTGCAGTATATCAATCGATTAAAACACGAAACAATCGATTGAATCAAACTTAGAAAAGTTTTGTAAAGTGTTTTAATTGATATAACCGTTGCAGTATCAACTAAAACAATTCTGTTAAAGAAACAAGAACGCATTAATGGATTGAAAGGATTTTTAACAGATTGAAACGACTATTTCAACAGATTAAAACTACCTTTCAACAGATTAATTAATGCAGCAGTTTTTGAAATTACTCTTTAAAAATAGTTTTGCTTGAACTTTTGAAAAATACTTTGAATATCAGTTTTTACACATCCTTAAGCAATCATTCAAGCAAACCTTAGAACTTTTTCAAGAAGGATTCGCAACAATTTTTTGAAGTTCTTTTGAAAATCTTTCTTGAGGCAACTTACATTCTTTTGAAGAAGAAACTCTCTGCAGATTTGGATAAACTAGTTTGAGCTTTCTAGTTTCTTCTTTGTAAATTCTTTTTCATTCTTTTGTATTGTGTTGTGCCTGGAATTTGGGCACAAGTTTCTCTGCAACTGGAATTTGGTTGTAGAGGTTTTCAAGAACTGGAATTTGGTTCTTGGTGAAAGGTTTGGTACCTGGAATTTGGGTATTGGGTTCTCTGCGGCTGGAATTTGGTTGCAGAGGTTTCCAAGAACTGGAATTTGGTTCTTGGTGGAAAGGTTAAAGTCAGGAACTGGAAATTGGTTCTGGTGTTAGAGTAGGTGTAAGATTGTTGAGTCTCGTAAAACATCTATTCTAGTGGAACCCAACTGGAATTTGAGCTGGAGACTGGACGTAGCCCTGGTATTGGGTGAACCGAGTATAAAATTACCGGTGAAATCTTTCCTAACCTTTCTCTCTTTAAATTCGATTGCTCTGCGCTTGTATTGTTTAATTGCTTTGTGATTCGTGAATTGATTAGTAAACTTAATTTTCGAATTAGATAATATGTTTATTGCGAAAAACTTTCAAAAATCAATTCACCCCCCTCTTGATTTAAAACTACTTTTCTAACAATTGGCATTAGAGCGAGGTGCTTGAAAGTTACTCAAGTCACTTCGATCCATGGCATTTTCTGAGGGAGCGTACATTGATAGACCTCCACTGTTGTGTGGAACAGATTATCTATTCTGGAAAATAAGGATGAAAATCTTCATTGAATCTGTTAGTATAAATGCTTGGAATGTTATTGAACAGGAAACTGATATTGCTAACAGAATTCAAGATGATTGTATTGCCAAAAATATCATCTCTTCCGCTCTTAATAGAAATGATTTTTTTAGGATTGCACATTGTCAAACTGCTGCACAAATGTGGAAGATCCTTGAAAAGACCTATGAAGAAGCACCAGAGATATGCTTAATGGTCAACTCAGAATCACCAAATACCAGTGGCCATGTCAAGATAGAATGCCCAGAAAATTCTGATCATGTAAGTTCTAGCTCCTCTTCAAATTTAGTTAATTATGATGCATTACAAGAATCATTTAATGAAATGCATGAAGAGGCTAAGAAACTTCAAAAAGAAAATGATAGGCTGAAAGGGCTAAACAACTGGCTAGTAAATAAAGTTGATTCTCTGGAAAAACAAATTCTTGAAAATGAAACTGAGCGTGACTTCTTGAAACTGATTCATGCTAATTCTGATTGTGAATGCAATAAACCATGCAATAATCGTTTCGAATTGCAAAAGAAAATTGACTTTCTATCTCAAACTATTTCAAGATTCACACAAGGGAAAGCCAATCTAGATGTATTACTTGGATCTCAAAAATTAATTTTTGACAAATCTGGAATAGGATTTAAATCTAGATCCAATAAAACAAAAACAAATAGGAATTCATACTCTGTAATTAAATGCTCTTACTGTATGAAAAAAGGGCACTCTGTTAAAAATTGCAGAATCAAAAAGTATGCCATTCCTAAAGGAAGAATGAAATGGGTTCCAAAGATTAATTCCTTTCAAATAACCTGATCAGGACCCAGTAATTATAAAGGGTACCAGAACAATTCTTAATTTGTTTTGCAGGAACAAGTCTGGGAATCCCTTGAAGATCAGAGCTGCGAAATCAGGTTCTGTGTATTTAAATTAATTGTTTTAATTGATATAAACCAATATTAATCGATTGAAATAACTTACCATACCATTTTAATCGATTGAAATGTCGAAATAATCGATTAAATTGTTCTCAGAATGTTGGTTTAGTCGTTTTAATCGATTAGAATGAATTTATATCAACTAAAATCACTAAGGTATCAAATTTAATTGATTCATTATTGTTTTAATCGATTTAAATTCTGGTATCATCTTCTAAATCTTTTCCAGTACAGAAACAATCGATTCTTTCAAGTATTAATCGATCATTTTACTATTGCATTTTCAAAACGAATATTAAAGATCAAATTAATAGGATAATTTGTTGTTTAATTAATTTGTTCTTGAAAATCATTTTGATCACATCCAATTGAAGATTGGTAAACGAATTCAAGTAAAAAAAAACCCAGGTTTTTATGATAATCAAATTCTGCATAATTCTGTTAAAATTTCTTTGACCAAGTCAACATACTCCCAAGAACAAATTAACTGGTACACCCATCGGTCAGAAATCTGTGTTTTTGTCCTCGAGTCAAGGGGACATGCAATTAAAAGCTGATTTTGCGGGTTCTGAACTTATCATTTCTTCCTCTCAAATCTCTTGTTGCATACATATCATTGATTTACTGTAGTATACATCGAGAGAATTTAGTTTCTTCCATTACAATCATAAATAGCAGCCGGACAATCATGATTGGAAACTAGTCTAGTGGAATAATGTGGGAAAGTTATTGCTTGTTATCCATGGATGGAAAAGTTTTTTATTTTTGAAAACAACATAGACATGATTCAAGTCTGTAGATGTCTACATTTCTCTTAATACTTTACATGAAATGCTGCGTGGTAATACTTTGCAAATCATAGGAATTATCAAGAAGTAGACTTGTCCCTTTTTTTTTCTTATGGACACTAGTTACAAATGGGTCAAGTTGTTAGGACTAAAAACATAGTTTATCAAGGATATTTCAGGTAATATTTGCTTCGATAATAAGTTGTTGATTACTAGGAAGTATGAACAGATAACTTGGGCACACGTTTACATTAGAATTCTGGATATTACCTAGCAATATATTTGGAATAATTTTGGGCATGCATTAGTTCAAGACTCTTAGTGAAATTCATTGGAATTGTGCAACTTTGATAATTCGTTTTAATCATCAAAGTCATGAGGTGTCACTGTAAGGAAACCAATCTGAGACAGCAATTCAAGAATTGAATGAAAAGCTGGAATTTGGCTCTGGTGTTAGAGTAGGTGTAAGATTGTTGAGTCTGTAAAACATCTATTCTAGTGGAACCCAGCTGGAATTTGGCTGGAGACTGGACGTAGCCCTAGTATTGGGTGAACCAGTATAAAATTACCGGTGAAATCTTTCCTAACCTTTCTCTCTTTAAATTCAGTTGCTGCGCTTGTATTGTTTAATTGCTTTGTGATTCGTGAATTGATTAGTAAACTTAATTTTCGAATTAGATAATCTGTTTATTGCGAAAAACTTTCAAAAATCAATTCACCCCCCTCTTGATTTAAAACTACTTTTCTAACATGTGATGCATGCCAAAAGGGTAAACAAGTAAAAACATAATTTAAATCAAAGAATGTTATTTCCACTTCAAAACCCCTAGAATTATTACATTTAGATTTATTTGGACCTTCTAGGATAAAAAGCTTTGGTGGAAATTATTATGGTCTTGTGATTGTTGATGATTATTCTAGATATACATGGACATTTTTCCTAACTACGAAAAGTGAAGCTTTTAAGGTCTT